TACAGGTTGATGATATTCCTGTTTGTTTTCGACATTTTTTCATTTCGTCTTTTATCAGAACATCAACTAACCGCAAGATAAGAGTACGAATGGATGCTGCATTATTGGCAGGCGACAGCCGACAAGCTGGATTATAGCAGTAATTAAGCGCTTTAACCTTTAATTCGTTGAAAACAATTCAATAATTTATTACATGTTGTGAATCCATATTTGCTTGCTTAAAGTGGGACAAGAAAAAATAAAAAAAATGTTGTATTTATAGTAGAAAAATGTCATACAAACAAAATGTTACTTAATAGCCGAACCTGAACAAGCAATTAATGTATCGGAAAGGAAACAAAAACCGTAGAAAAGCACAGTGGAAAAATAAAAAAAGTGGAAAGCGAATATGAAGCATCTTCGTGCTTTCAGTATTTCGTCGGGCTTCTGCAAGCTGAAAGCCAGTAAATTTCCAATAAAAATATATCTAAAAAAATACCTTTCGTTGTCAGATTCACATTCAATTAATGGAAATATCTCCAGTGGGAAAACTAAGGTAAACTTTAAACAACTATACAAAATATACATAACAAAAGAAGAGATGAAAAATAAGCCGAAGGGTTTGAAACGAAAATAGTCGGGCTTAAGTTGTATTTATTTAACGATTTACTGTTAAGTTTTTCGAGTTTTGCGACTCCAATCCAATCTACTCGCCCTTACGAAACGTCAGGAATAAATTGTTTTCAGCGACGGCCTAAAAACCGGCAAAATTCATCAGGTTCAATAAATTTTATTTGCACACAGTGGTTTTGCTAAATTGCAATATCAACTTCATTTCGCATTCCGAATGCCGGTCTTGAAAGTTTCCGGATTAGCCAGCGATTGTTCGTATAGAAGGCCTGTTCTTGACAGCGCCATGTAAATTATAGGCAAACCGGCAGGCCTACAAGCGCTAAATCGCCGATTATACGCGCGTATTTTCGGAATGTTTTTCGACAATGGAGTGCGAGATAAGAAGGGATATGGAGATATCAGAGTGGGTTAAATTGGGGAAAAGTTGGGTAACTAAAAATTTTTTTTTACCATAAATACTAAAAAACTGTAAAGACAGAAATTTAAAAATGCAATATTTTCACATTACTCTGGTTTGATGTAATTATGTTTTGCATAACGACAAGATTGCTAAACAGTTCATTTATCTAGTAAATAAAACCATGTATTTAAACAGTAAAAACTTAAATGTAAAAGTCGAAACGAAATTCATTAATCAGTTTTCAAAATCATGTTCACAACATCAATTAGTAAAATCAATGGCAGATTAGTTAAGGAAAAAAAACTGTTTCTGGGAATAAACATGGGAAGCGAAGGAATATTTGATAAAAGGTATTTATGGAAAGTAACATCAAGTAGTATGCCGATAACCTCTTGATGTATTTCTGTAGTTATCAGTATAATAACATGGATTGTAATTAATATGGTTTATCGTTAACTGCTTTTGATGGTAATGAGCTTGTCACAACATGAACATTTATTTATGTAAGAGCAGAAGTGACATAACGTCACGTTAAAAAACTGTGAAGAATTATCAAATAAAGTGAAATAAATACCCTTCTATTACCAGTTCAGTTTGACTATAAAAAAGAAGTGCGATATTTTAGATGGTACAAAAATGTCACAGAAAATGCTTGTTAAATTGTTGTGAATAAGATTTCAGGCTCAATTTCAAACACTTATCGTTAAATGTTTTATTACTGCTATATTTTGGATACATCACACTTAATTGACACCAATGCTGCTGTAAGCGAATGAAAGCCCCATAAAAATGTACATAAAATCAGCAACTGATTTCCTATATTTATATTTTCACCAATTGACATTAATTAATTGTGTTATGCATAATGAAATAATTGCCGCAATTTAATTTGCGTCTTTGTAAACAGATGCTCATCATAGACGAATTTGCTTGGTCAGATGCTCTATTTTTATTTACAATTTCCAAAAGTTGTGTTAAATATAGATGCCATTCGTATGGAAACATAGTGCATTTTTCAAGCAAATGACCCCAATATGTTAATCGATAAACTTACTTAGCAATAATTGGGGAATTTTATTGATGGCATGCCAACTTATCTGATTGCAGCCATTGATGGCATGGCAACTTTAATATTTTAGCAATGGAATTTTGTTACATAAAGTATTATAATTTCTATTCTCATATTCTTTGAAAGTCATTTGTAAACTACTAAATAAAAACTATTTTCACATAAACTTAAATAAGTTTCAACTTAATTCTACTTCCTCAATGAAGCTAATAGCTACGTGTAATGAGAAGTGATTATTATATAAAGCAACAATTTTTTGCAATTTGCTCATAAAATGCCCAATGAAGGCTTATCACTTGAGCCGAATATAGAGCGATTAGATAATTAATACAATTTCGTCCAAACTAGTTCACTTTCAGTAAAGCGGCTTTAATAGCAGGAAATTTGAGGAATTTTAGCACATAATCATGATTTTACACTTTTAAAGCATTACCGCATTAAGTCGTTTGCCGATGCAAATTTTCCCATATTAATATTTTAAAAGTTGATACCATTAAATTGGTTATGAATTAATATACACACGCTCGTATGAAAAAAGTAATAAATATTTCCCATGTCGCGTCAATTATTACGCGATGAATAAACAATAAATTGCCCATTATCTACATTCTAGATTACCGCATTTTCAATAAATTAATTATATTTTTTAGATCGTGTGTTTATATGAAAATCGCTATTTGCAAGGCGTGTTTTTAATTAAACACCATGTCGAATCAATGAGAACATTTTTTGAATGCGCAAAATAATTTTTCTAACACATTTTTCTAACCACAGCCACAACTAAGGAACTTTAAGGATGTTTCTATGGAGTATAAGTATGAATCATACAAAGGTTGACTAAGAGCACTAAAATTTCGAGAAAGTATTTTAACTACTAAAATTTTCATTCGAATGAAAATCTTATAATGTGTGTAAATAGTTAATTTGAATCGACAATTTTTCCTATGTAAGTTTATGAATATTTACGAGATATTTATGTCATTTATGATTATCATATGTAAATCTCCGCACCGATGCAGGCATTTGTGACTCCAACCTAATTCGAAATACAGTCCTAAGCTGCTTTTGCCTTCGATTTTAAAAAAGGCTAACGCAAATCAATAGAATTCAGCCCACTAGAAGAAATTAATTGAACTTGTTCAGTGTGAGCGGTTCTAAGATCAAATTAACATCGATCATTGCTCGGTACAAATGCATAACATATTGACTAGCTGATAAATAATATTAATTGCATTCGGTCATTGACGATCGTTTATTTGGAAAAAATAAGATTAGGAATCCTAACAACATAGATTCGGTCGGTAGGCGTCAACAATAATAACCTAGCAGGGAAAATCAATTTTTTATTTAGGCATATAGCTTAGATTATGGCTTATCGCAACGACTTTAAAAAATAAAATAAATTACTAAAATTTCTAACTTTTCTAAAGTAAATATTTTAGTTATCTAGAGGTCAGACTGCAACTAACATGAAAATATTACTGCCATTACTACTAGCAGTTTAAATTGCCCCAATACTGATAACATGTAAGGAAACAAAAAGTTGGGTTTTCAGTGGAAATATAATGAAAAAAACCTTTCTGGTATCATCAACTATGTCGAATTTCGGGTTTATAGTTCATATACAGTTCAAATAACGTCATTTACACAATACATACGATATTTACGTAAAAGCGCCCTTTGCCCACATTCTCTCAGCTATTTAAAGAACAAGCCGTATAGTGCCAATCCGTTTCGTATTTTTAGCCATTCATTAGTTAACTTGTTTTTATGTTCTAGGTGCTTCTTTTTGACTTTTTCTGGAAAACATAAATATTTTCCGATGCACAGCTTGTTTTCAACACACTCACCAGTTCATTGCCATATTATTATTATTATTATTACTAAACAGCGCTTAAATACGCTAACTAATTACTAACTAATACACTAATTTTATAATTTTTTATTATTACATTAGTCTGACTAATGCGGCTCTGAATGAGCAACAATTTTAAGTCTAAATTGTGAAACAAGATTGCAGAAAATAGATGACATATTTTTAAAGTACTCCTATGCACTTTTTTGCATAGGAGTACGTTTTTGCTCCTATTTTCTGCTAAATTCTTTCCCTCTTAAAAGTTATTCAGTTTTGTTTCTGCTCTCGAATTTGTATTTATTACTGCATTTTTCTGATCGCAAAAACAACGGGAAAAAATTACCTGTTTGGCGCTTGGGACGTGGCAGCCACAGATAAATTCATCAAATTGACCATTCGATTATTGCCAAAAGCACACTTTGAACATGCATGAAAAAAGTCGCATTTGCCAATATTTTTGGAAAAAATTTCCTGTTAGTCGAGATGAAAAATGATTCATTTTTCAAAAACCTTATTTGTTGCATTTACAAATTTAACTTCCTAACTTCACATCAATTTCAATTCAACTCATTCTTTGATCTCAATATAATAAATATTCACTAACTCCTAAAAATTATGAAAAAATCGCGACTAAACCCCCAATTAAAGTGCGTACAACTTTGAAAATGTATACTACAAATACATGATTTGTTTTGAATATATCCTCTCTCTCCAGTGTACCAAACAGATTCCTATTAATAAGCCGCTGGTTAAAAATATGCGTTCAACATGAAAAAAAACACCTACCTTTTGCCATTTTATTTCCAAATCAACTGGAAAATAAAAACCGAGCAGTTGCAGAAGATTGTTAATGAAGGTGGCCTCCTAACCCGGCCGAACTTGCACCTTTTGACTTAAACAGGAATAGCCGCGATATCTGATAGCATTTCTTCGCCGCCAGGAGGGATATTCTACTAACCACACACACCGTTCGCTGTTGAAAATAACTACTACTATCTCAAAGCAAAATTTACACTCGATTACGGCATGTTTTGAACTTTGTTTCCAACTTTTTGACTTGATTGGATATACAGAGTGGATATTACGAATTTACTGTTAGGAGAGGGATTCGGGCAACAAATCAAACTATAACAAATAGTTTGAAAATGGATAAATTTCCTCAAGACTTGAGCTCGAAATTTATGCTTTTCCCCCCATTAGTCGGTTATGTACATACTTTTATTGTTTAAATTGTTGGTACCATGAATGACTCCGCAAGGCGCAAACTTAAATTGTTGATTTTATCACTTTTGCAAATGAATAAATGGAAGCGCATAGTTAGTTCCGATAGCACATCAGTTCCAATTACCAAAATAAATTAGTAGTTTTCGATACAAATGCGAAAAGTGTTCTTCGAACGAGGACGACTTTTCAGGCAGAAGTTTTTTGGCCTGATGTCGATAGATACTTTTTATTCGAATGTCAGAAATAACACGAAAAAGATAGATGCAGAAAGATGTATCGACATTTATATTCTTTTTTGGGTTGCTCTATTTGATTGACTTGAAATGTCCGAAGAAAAGCACTCAAGTTGACTTTATTTCAATTTTCCTATGGAGCATTTTTTATTTATTAGACTTTACAACCTGTTACAGCTGATATTTTCTACAAATTCGTTTGAATAATAACACACGATTACTACCTTTTATGAAGTTTTAGCTTCAGGTGCGCCACTAGCAGGATTTCGATGATAATTATTCAAAAATCACGTTACCAGTGAGCTTTTTTCTTAAGAAAATATCATTGAGTATAGCGTAATTATTAAATCGATCTACTACGGAAATGGTTCGCGAAACTACAATTTTTTAAGTAAATTTTCCAATTCATCAAACCACGGAAGTCAGAGATCAAGCTATTCTAACCAGCGCAATAACTTGAGCTTAATTCAGCCAAAACTTAAATTATAAGTCCGATTTTACTACTGGGTTTTTCCTTTTCTTACTGAGTTTGCTCACTTATTTTACGAATTAATTTATATTAAAATTGAAGCGCAAACTGAAAATGTGTTACAAGTTTCTAACCTAATCGAAAAATAACTTCTTAAATCGAAATATCAATTGAACACTCCTCCTATTTAAATGGTGATCATCATGGGAATAGAGAGATTTTCTATGTGTTTCTTCAAACATTTGCAATTTCGAAATAAACCATAGATCTCTGTCTACGTCGTAAATTATTCCAATGTCCAATGTTATTTTAATCCGAAATATACTTTAGCTATGCGTAAATCAAACTCCCACATCGGAAAAACCTATGGATTGCCATTAGCTGTGGTTTATGAACTTTTCATTTCAAATTCGCGCTCTATAAACAGTTACTTAACTGTAATGAAAGTCCCATTTCAAAGCTCAAATTACAATAGCAACGCTTTTCTTTTCAACTCATTTAGAACACCTGGATTCAAATGCATAAATTGAATGATTAATGCAAATAAAATCAAATCTAAAATACGTAAAGTAATATAATAATTAAAAATGAAATTGATGAAAGGTTTTAGCACAACGTGAAACTATTATAACCGTTTGCCGAAGATGCAGCAAATTCTAAATAAAAATGCCAACATTTCAGGATGGTTTACAAGAAAACAACCGAAAAATTGTCACTTAAATTGATCAGTTAAAAGAAGCAAAAGACACACCAATTGATTTATTTTGTGCAAATAATATTTAGCAAAAGCTTGGTATGTTTTTCCGAATACGCTGCATTACTAAATTCTTCAAATTAAAATAAAATAAAATATTGCTGAATTTGGCTTTAAGAACATAGTAATCGGAATGAACATTTTGAAAATTTCTGTGCGCCATTCAGTCCAGGAACGTTATCTCTGTATCTTCAGATACAGATAAATGGATCAAATATTTTAGCAAAACCGATCAAATGATAATTTGACAAAAAACTATGTGAACATAATTGAAGCGAGCAGTGCATCTTTTTTTTGTTTTTTTTTTCACATTTGGCACTGAAAAAGGATTTATTGCCTGCGAAGAATTTGAATATAGTTTTTGACTCAAGCCCAAGAAAGCAGTATCGGTCTTTTGAATATTTGCTCATTAGTATGAGCAGAAAAATACATGAGATAAGACTATGTTACATTTTATCCAAGATTCTTGTAGATTATTCTATACCTACGTACCTTTTACTTCTTGTTCCACCTGGGTTGCATTTTTAGATTCAACCCACTTGTCAGTTTTATTAGCTGGAGCCGCAGAAATTATGGCAATTCCTCCATTTGATCCTGCTCCTGCTGCATGTGCAGCTCCATTTCGCATAAACTGACGATCCACCATAGCTAAGAAGTGATAGACGAGATCACGCGGATAG